TGTATGGATTGTGATAAGAGTTGTATGAGCCCCTAATAAAATGATTTTTTTAAAAAAAGAGTTGTATGAGCCCCTAATAAAATGATTTTTTAAAAAGAGAGAGGGAAAAAAATAAAGAAAAAGAGTTTACAAAAAGAAAGAAAGAAATGTGTTAGTAGGCTGACAAAGGATTGCAAACGAACAAGGGTGCCCCCGAACAAAGGAGGTGGTTGAGTATCAGGAAAAGGCCGATGCTCTGCTCCAAAGTCCAAGCTGTAAGCTCCGATTTGAATGGAGGGACTGCAGTGGAACTTTAACCATGCTCAACAAACGACGGAGGGAAAGGCTGTCCACAGGGTGTTTAACCAGAGGGCTTCAAATAATGTCTGCAAGACCTAAAGAATGTGTAAGTCAGAGCAGAGGACTTCCTGCTCCTAGAAATCTTAACAGTTAACCTTGGAGAAGTGTAACTTGCTGGGGTCTTACCCAAGGCATGCTGGTGGAGCTATGGGTTAGGTGTTGGAGTGCTCATCACAACTGACAGCAATCCTACAGGACAGGGTCGAACTGCCCCTTTGGGTTGGCGAGACGGTAACTATCTACAGGAGTAGAATGCCTCCTCAGTCTCCCCAGGAACCACTAGTGATTTTGAACTGCTGACCTTGTGATTGGCAGCCCACTGTGTAACCACTAGGCTATCAGGGCTCTTAATCCCAAGGTAGGCAGTTCAAATCTAGCTCCTCTGGAAAAAGATGTAAAGATTTACAGTCTCAGAAATTCAATATAGAGTCAGAATTGACCTGATGACATTGAGGTTTTTTGGGGGGTGGGGTCTCAAAGTGGAGGCATGGCTTTGCCCTGGTGGTGCAATGGGTTAGGCATTGGTTGGGTAACCTCAAGGTCGGTGGTTCAAAACCACCAGCCACTCTGTGGGAGAAAGATGAGGCTGTCTGCTCCTGCAAAGATTTGGGTTCTTGGAAACCCTGAAGAGCTCTTCTATTCTGTCCTATAGGGTTGATATGCGTCAGAATAGACTCAACAGTGGTGGGTTAGTTACCTGTAATTGTAAGCCACCTGGATGTACCCCTGTGCACTTGTTTTCTTTACTGGATTAAAAAACCCGTGCACTTTTGCTTTTCAGAACATTATGCTGAGAGCATTTGATCGTGTGTTTCCCAATCACAAATTGTCTTCACTCTCAACCAAATGCTTTGCTTTGACTGCAAGCAGCCTTCATAACTAAGCACTACATGTCTTGGTATCAGACATCATGGGATCCGAAGGACACTGCCCCCAATGGCCCCATGGGGGCTTGGAGGACGGGTCCAGTGCCTGAGGGGCCCTGGAACCCTCTGTCTCCCCACATTGCTTTGAGAGTCAACCCAGGATCGAGCTCCATGTTCTGGCTGAGAGCATTCTAAGATTAATTAAGAATTCTTTATTTTCGCTTTTTGTCCACCTTCAAATTCAGGTCACAGTTTTTTGGTTGGTCTTCCAGGGCACAATTTGTCATTGGGGGGAGGTTACTGTAAGGAGCCTCAGAGATTCTGAGACACCTGAAGTAATGCTCCTCAAAGCCATTTTCCTCTTTCCTAATCCATTGGGCACACATCTGCTGGAGTACTGCCAAGAAAAATGGGCAATGCCAAATCTAAACATGGGGATTTTCCTGTGGGGACTCCTGCCTCTTATATGCACAATCATTGTGGTCTCATAACTTGTTTATTTGAAAATTGTTGACATGACCTTTTAGGGAAAACATAGACAATCAGTGGCCACTTCGGATCTTTTGGTTTTGCTACCTTCACTTTTCTGTGAGTTATATGTTGGACTATTAATCCAAGGTCAGCAGTTCAAATCTACCATCGGCTCTAAAGGAGAAAGATGAGGCTTTCTACTCCTGTAAACAGTTACTGTCTCAGAAACCCACAGGGGTTCGCTATGAGGCAGCATTGACTCAATGCCAGTGAATTTGTTTTGTAGGAAACAGCAATAGTCTTAGAGACT